CCATAGAAATACATATGTATGTATGTACAATAATCATTTAGCAATCCTACAGTATGTGTTTACCTAAAGTTACCGATTTAATTGTCTTTTCACAGGAGCTTATATTATTTTATTAGTATTTGTATAAAGGCATTTGTGGACATTTTTTTGAAATTACCTATCTACTAAGTTATCTGAAATTATAAGAATTTTATTATTTGTTTAAAAGTGTCATGATTAAATTTAGACATTCAGCATTTTTATTCCTATAGAAGAGGCTATTCTTAGCCACAAGTGTTTTATCTATGTCGAATAGCACTTTGGATCGTAAATGCTTACTTATATGTCTAGTCTATGACTTATATGCACACTCGAATTGGGTTAAATGCATTCATCAAAAGAGTGATCGAAATTATTCAAACTCACGTTTATTATACAGTGGCGGGCAAACATATAGAGACGCGACATTTTAACAAGTTTTTCGTATATATTTCTTTTGTTTATTTAATATTTTTTTAATGAAAATATAACAAAAACCATGTAATTGCGAATTTTAAACTTTGTTTGTACAATTAGGAAAATTCGACCAACTTTCAAACTTTTCAATCAAAATGTTTAGTAAAAACCTTTATATGCAGTTTTGTAGTCCATTTTGTTTAATTTTTTTTTTTGCTTTCGGTGTCACGCATTTTCTTTCATTCAAATACGTTCGAAAATTTTTGTATATGGGGGAAATTGCACAACACCGCCATCAAAAAAGTTTCCAAAAATAAAGGCAACTCCCAATTATTTGATTTTTAATTGCCAAAACTTGTTAATATGCTGCTTCCCTATCTGGTTGCCCGCCACCGTACATATATATGTATTATACTGGTCATGCTGCTAATTAAAGCTACATTTATCAAATTATCGAGTCTGATTTGCTATTTTTTATTTTTTATGGGCGTTGGAAAAAGGCCGCTCTTATCTTTCGAGTGGGGCAAAAGTAAAGTGCATAAATCTACGTTAATATTTTGGCTAAATAAAAAAATAATGAAAATTCGCTTTAGCAAATGTCGTTTACGTTAGCTATGTAAGTAGGCTTTTATGGACTTACGTGCAAATGCAATTACCTCGATTTGGAATTTATGTAGTACTTTGAAATTAAATTAGTTCTATAATATAGAAAACTGCATTTATACATATGTATGCATATGGATGTGCTATATGTAAATTTGTATGTGTACATAAAGAGGATCATTATTCGATATTCTCCAAGTGTGATTTTTATATATTAATGTTATACCTATAGGTACATACTATATAACTGATAGAGCAATTTGAATGTAATCGTACGACATTTACATACTACAATAAAGGCAAAAGGCTGTTACTAACAAAAAATTAAAAAAAAATACTTACTGATTGTTTATACTTAATGCATTTCATCGAATTTCAAATCCCTACATCGTTTTATGCATATAAAGTTTTTGTTAGTTACGACTTTTTGCATTTCAGCTAAATTCTAGATATGCATTCTAATTTTGGAAGTTAAAATATCATATAGTTTTTTCACTTTCACTATACTGTATGCCTGTATTTATGTACCACTTAGTATAACCTCATTTTAATATACAGTATTTTTCTATTTTTACTATTCTCACAAACGCCATAAATATGTTTTCTTGAAAAATTTATATAATTCTTTACTGATCCGCTCTGTATACATACATATGTATGTACATATGTAGATATGTATCTACATGAACACTTTTGAAAATACATACTACCCACATGTGTACTTGCCCAGCTCAAGGTGATCCATGATCACTGATCATAGCAAACATATGTAGTATTTGTTGCTTGTAAATAATTGTTTTTCATTACATTTGTTGGTTGTAATATTTTAAATAAATTAAGGTTGACTCGTGACAGACATAATTGTAATTGTATAGAGAGAAGAATCTAAAAAACACGTTGATATACGTACATATGTATGTATGTACATAAATACATATGGGTATTTCCAATCTGGCGTTACGTGATGCTCATATGACAAAATGTTAAAAGAAAAATTTAAAAAGTCAACATTTTAAAAATGTTTTTCTAGATTTGCATAGCAATTAAATGTCCCCTTATTCAGTAAAAAAATTACAACTGTTGGGTGGTAGCGATTTAAAGATATTTGTAAACATACGCGCTGCTGTAATTTAGATATTTTGATACCATTATTTGAGCTTTAACCTTAACCCTTTACAATAAATTCCAATGTAAAAAGGCAATAAAATATTGAAATACATAAATAAATATTGAAAAGTGTTTCTTAATCGTTTAAGAGATAATTAACAGAATATGACTCTCTCCTCCACTAACAAATTATAATGCTGACAGTGCAGGTGATAAAGTGAAATCAGCTTTTACTCTGAAATTCATTGAGTACATGAGCGCGAAGTTTTTTTTTTATGTTTCAGCTAAATTCGATATTTTTGTATTTCAAGAGCAAATAAAAATTATACTCAACATATGGATTTGGCAATAGCTGTTCTAAGTGACGTCACTAAACTTTTTTTTCATTGTAGATCTTTCCATCCAACGCGCAAGAGAACAGCTGTTGAGATCTAACATTTAACAGATTACCAAAAATAAGCTGCAAAGGACGTTGACAGTTGAAATTTTAACCGCGTACCAACTTCCAATTTACTTAACTACTGCAATTCGTATGGCAATCTCTATTAATATTTTTGTTTGTTTGTCGAAATATGTAATTAAAATGTGAATAGAGGGTCAATTGTCACAATTGACACAATGCAGAAATTCAAAAACAAAAAACGAAAACACAATTAATATCAATTGACAATTCAATTAGATCAATTCATGTTTGCTTGTGTATCAGAATATTTGTCAAACAAATGACATACTTACATATGTATGTACATGCGTACATACTACATAGAAATTCTAGAAATGCAATGATTTGATTTGAAATTAATATAAGTTGAGATGTTAAATTTAAGAATTGGTTATACAGTGACTCCAACAATCGAGCACAAGGAAATTTTTTTCTTAAATATTTACAATGTTTTTGAATGTGTCATGTTATTTATGCAAGATTTTTTAATATTTGTAAACTGTATAAAAAATATAGCCACATAGCCAGGTCACCCGATTTAGGAAAATTTCAAACATTTTGATCTGAATTTTTTAGTATGAAGTTTTAAACCCGATGCATTACAAAATGTATAAAACAAATAAAAAGGATGCTGGAAGCAGCTAGGGATGGACGCTGATTTAAATTTTTTTTGTTGACAGTCTTGCAGTTTTTTACTTGGGTTATAATACTGCCTACTCAAAAATTTTCTAAAAATTCATATTAAAAAGTTTGAAATGTTTATTAAATTTATTTTATTATATTTGTCTTCTATTTTACTTTGTTTTATCTTATTTTATTAATAAAATTTTTATTTTATTTTAAATTTATTTTTATGTTGTTTTTATTTTATTTTCTTGTACCTAATTTTATTTTATTTTCTTGCATTACATTTTTGTTTTAATATAATATTTCTTTTGCTCTTATTTTATTTTAATTAATTTATTTTTATTTCATTTATCTTTTTAGATTTGTAGAATATTTTATTTAATTTTTATTTAATTTTAGGTATCTTTCTAATTTTATTTTGACTATTTTGATTTATCTTAATTTCACTGTATTAAATTTTATTTTACTTATTTTTGTTTATAGTTATTTTATCCTATTTCATATCCCACAGTTTTACTGAGCTTGAGGGCGTTTTTAATGAAAAATTAATGTGGAAAACAGCAAATGGTTTACAAATGGTAGAAGTTATAGCTGTTATTTCGGAGATCATCACATCTCCCTTTCAGACTTCTTCATTGAATGTACTGACCTCAAGCTCAATAAATTTTTTTGTATATGATTTGTTATTAGGCCAAAAATAGCAAAAAAAACATTTTTTTTCATTAACAGCCAGTTTTTCGATAGCAATTTAACTGAAAAATTTGTTTTTTAATTTCAATTTATTATGAAAACTGACAGAAGAGAAAAAATAAATTTTTACTTAAATTGCTAGTGAAACGTCAGTTAATTTATTTGTTTTATATTTTATTTTTAATTATTTTGTTATATTTTTATTTAAATTTAGAAAAAAAATTTTATTATCAATTCAGTTTTAACTTTTATAGAACATTTTATTTTGCTTGATTAAATTTTATTTAATTTGTTATACTTGCAGCATAGCTTACTGATTTTATTTTATTTTTATTTTATCTTATATTGTCAATTAAAATTTTTATTTTCATATAATTTTGTTTGTTTTGTTTTATTTTAATATGTAAATATATTTTTTGTTGTTTTTATTTTAAATCATTGTATCTCATTTTATTTTATTTTATTTCTTTTACCTTATTTGATTTAATAAGTTTTTCATTTTCATAGAATATTTTTTAAATTTATTTAATTTTATTTTTGATTTTATTTTATATTGCTTATTATAAATGTTTTATTTTATTTAATTTTATCTCATCTTATTTTATGCGCTTTATTATAAACATTCAATCAGGAGTTACACGCCAAATCGCCTAACTCCACTTTTTATGTTTTTTTTTTATAGTTGGCAAAATAAGAATCATATGTCGAACTATATTAAAAAATTTAAGTATTGATATTTATTTAAAACATTAGAAATCAGAAGCAGGAGTTATTTTATTATTTTTTTATTTTTATAATAAAAATCAGATATGTAAATAATTTGTTGTTGTTGTGCTAAGGAGGAATGAAATTTTCAGTTCGGACTTTTATTATGAAGAATATAAAAGTTATGTATAACTTTTAAAATACCTAAATAAGTATAGAAATATAATGAAAAGTTTTTCAATTTAAATTGTTGCATTGAGTTATGGAACACCTTAAAAATAATAACTATAACTATTTTATAAAAGTAAGGCCTCTTGCTAATTTTTTGTATGCACGAACAAAAGTAAAACAACAATAAAAAATGTATATATGTGTGTATGTATGTACGTACGGCTCTAGTGTAAATTGAGGACGACTGCATATATCCACCGGCATTTTTGCTAAAAAAGTCTATTTCACTTTGTTAAAATAAAAACAATAAAACACTCTAAATGCACTTAAAACAATGTTTTTTTTTTTACTTTTAGTTAAATAAATGTCTTAATATTCTTATAAATACAAAAGGAATGCTTGCAATTCTGTGCATTAGATTTTTGTAGGTATGCTTTTCACTTCACTTTATTTGTATGTACATATGTATGTATATGTGAATTTGTAAATTTTATAAACTTGTTTCCGTATTGTCCTTTCAGGATATTGTAACCAATTATGAATATTCTCACAAAGCAAAAGGGTTCAGCTGAGAGTGATTCTTTTTGAAACAACAAATATCTTTTTTTGTATGTAAGTTGGGAGAGCCAATTTCGGCTGATGCTTTCAGGCGTAGTATTACCATTCAACTGAAACTTGCCAGCGCTTATGAGAGCCACAAATGTGAAGTGTGGCAGTACCATATTGCCGGGCTTGGTATACATACAAACACACATCGGGTGTATATATATTATGTACAAGCTTTGAGTGTAGTAAATATATATTATATGACCATTTATAAGTACTTCTACTATCCCCGCTGTACATATGTACATATACTACATACGTATGTATGAATGTATGCACATATGTACGTATGTTTGCCGTCTTTTGCTTTTGTGCTTTTTTCCATGGTTGGACGAGAGTTTGTACTTGTTTATTTGTTTATCTATTGGCGTTTACATCTCTTTTGTTGTATTTGTAACTATGCTTAACTTTTAAACGGTATGTATAATATTAATATATGTATGTATGTATGTATGTACATATGTGTATGTAAGTACATAGTACTTAAATGCGTTCACTCGTAAATAAAATTTTCATTACTTGTGCATCTGCATATGCAATTGCGTACGATTCTTTATGTGTCGGTGCTGTATCTCTATATCTTATATTTTTCTGTAGATATGTATGTATGAATGTATTTATATATGTACATAGAGGTGTTTGATCTTGAGCCAACCAACCCGTCTTTGTTTGTAAGTCTTCCCTATTGTAAGCATTTATATATGTACATATGGATGCACATAGTACATAAGTATGCACGCATTTACATATGTATGTAGGTACATCTACATAGGTACATAGTTTATTTTACGAGAAACTGTGATAGTTTTTCTTTTCTCCATAGTAAAAAATGTTTTAAAGAAAATTGGTTAATTACAGCAAAAATTAAAAATCCGTTCGATTTTTGCAAAACCCAATAATCAGCGTTTATGCTCCTGAGCTAAGCAAACGTCCCAAAGTCTGGTTTTCAATCGCTTTCTTTGAAGATTCACATGTTGTTAATTAAGAATTTTGTAAAAAAAATTAATAATATTTGAAAGTTTAGACCCCAATTAATTAAAAAATATCAAAGCAGCTGCTCTACTGTTACTACCTGTTCAATATGCCTTGGCCTAAGAAAAAAAAAATAATTAATGCCCGAAAAACTAAGCGATTGGAGAATTTGCTTATGGATCTTGAAACTGTAGGTAAAAAAATGTAAATAAAAATATTAATAATATAAAAAAGATAAATTAAAAAAAATAATAAATATACAAAAAAATTTATTGAGCTTGAGGTTGTTCTGTTTGAAAAATTATTGTGGAAAACAACAATAATTTATAAAGGTATAAGTTGTCGCTACTATTTTGGCGATTACTACATCTCTTCATTCTTCTTCGAATTCACTAGGATTTGAACCCAAATAGCAGCTATACTCTTATTGTTGTTTTCCACAATAATTTTTCAGATTAAATTATTATTAGGCCACAAATAAGAAAAATAGAAATAAAATAAAAAACTAACAGCGGCAACTTTCTGAAAGCTGTAACTAACCATTGCATACGTATGTTACCTTATTAGAATATTCATATACATTAGACCACGTAAAAAAAAAAAATCCCGCAATTCGCCGGAACCCGACTCAGATTTAAGTATTTGGTATAGTAATGATCCTCAATGAATATACCACCTCGACGATAATTCTAAGAGGTCGCGCATCGATCGTTTATTTTTCCCATGGGAATAACGCGTAAGAAATAAATTCTCTTCTTCGGTCAATATAATTCTCTAGGATCAATCGAAGCGCTCGAAACCATAACATATATTGATTATACGCTATTTAAGTGTTATAAAGACTCAGATTTATTTTTGTCTCCAAAACAAATTTTTTATTGTTCAGAAGCTCATTCGCCTAAAGTACCCCGTTTTACAACTTACCCACGAGATCTCAGTTCTTATCGGCCTAATGCACCACCCTAGGTTAGGTTAGGTTAGGTAAGGTTAGGTGGCAGCCCCGTGTAACCGGAGCTCACTTAGACAATGTAAGATTGTCCTTTGTGATACCACAATTTGGAAAGGCCCCCCTAAACTTTAACTTTAAGGCGTTCAGTGCTAATGTGGGGGCAGTACATAAATTAAACGAGGAAAAATAAAACAACTACCTTAATCCTATTCGAAACGAATGTATTTTTTAATTAATTTGCTTCCTTTATCGAAGTATGAGTTTTCACAAAAAGTTGGCGTAGCAACCTTTTACTCTAAGCTAGATGTTTATATGTATGTATGTAGTTAGGTTATGCTGGATTTACACTAGGCATTAAATGGTAAATATGACAAATGACAAAGTTGGGCATTAAAAAATTATCGTGTCATTATGTGGAAAAAATAGTCATTAAGTTCATGTCCACATGGCCTTTTTTTTTTGAATGGTATACATTTTTTGTCATTTCAATGCCTATGGGAAATTCGGCATAAGTTATAAATTCCAAATATTTACATAAATATATCAGCAGGTAAATTTCAGAGGACAAATTCCTTTTCATTCCAAAAGATTCTCGAAAAAGCGTTCAGTTTAGGCTTCCCCAAAGCAGGATTTCCATTTAAATTTCCCAACCTTGGGTTTGTTGATTCGGTGAATTAAATTGATAATTAGCGATTTTTACATTTTACAACTGAAATTTTCAAACTGAAAAAAACATTTTGTGAAAGGTTAAATGCAAGCGAGAAATCAAAAACCATTTAGTAATAAATCGGTAATATAATACCGGTTCAATTCATGGCAAAACAAAAAAAGTATGCCTTCAATAATACATATACCTTACATACATATGTACATACTAGAAGGCTGCATGAATTTATTCAAAACGGCTTATGAATTGTTCATATGCAAAACGAAAGAATGATTTTGGCTTAAATTTTTTTGGAATTTGAGTGAATTCTGTTCTGATATATGTACACACATATGTATTTGCCGACATTACAATAATCAAACAGAGTGAAAATAAATTGAATTGAAATAATGGCAGTTTTTTTTATGAATATCCAAAAATATTTTTTCTATGTACATATGTACAAACATAGGTATGTATGTATGTATTGCAGCGCTCCTATTACGAACAAACTTGTTTGTAAAAAAAAACTTTACCGAAATGAGTTTGAATGATTTCAATGTTTTTCATTCATTCACATTCTCCCATTTGAAGGTGGAAAATTTAAAACAAAATGTATATTCATAACTTACAAAATTCCAAACGCTGAGTGCTTTGTATTTCAAGTAAAATATTCAAATCTTTTGTACTCTGTTTGGCTAGAAGTTTGAATGAATTCATGCAGCCCTCTAATACATACATATGTATGCATGTACGTTAGGGTGGTAATTAAAAATAGCATTTAATTTTTGTATAAAGGGGTGCCTTATTGTGTGCATATAATAAAATCCACGAAAATTTCAAAATTTAAAAAAACTTTTATGGGTACCAAGGTTTGAAATTTTTTTAATCGCAAAAATTTGACAAAATTTTGTCCTGAAATTTGATAAGTTTGAGATATTACTGAAACTTATTCATATGAATTTATAAACCCGCTGAGGTATAGCTGGCCAAAGTCAAAATTTTGTCGATAATTTGCGATTTAAAAAAATTAAAAAAAATTTCTTCAATCTTGAAATTGATATTTTATGGGCCACCCAAATGGACACACATATATATACATATGCACCTACATGTTAACATTACATGTTCACAAGTACATTACGTACATTTTTAGTAAAGTATACGTACTGCAATTAAATTTTAGAAAGTCATTGTATTTCTAAAATATTGTAATTTATGCATTTTATAGCGCTATTTATGTACATATGTTAGTATATATACATTAGGTTGGTCTTTAAAAAATCAAATGAATGATTTTTTCAGTCTCAGTCCCCGTAATCAGTAATACCACGGTCACACATATATCACATATAAATTTTGGTCCCGATTGGAGACGGTTAAGGCATGTCGCAAATGGGGTTAGAGGCCACCAGATGCCTCTATGGAGACTCAAAAAATTAAAAATATTTTTTCATTTAGTACTCCAAATCGATACCACTAAAGTCGAAGATATCACATATGAATTTTGGTTCCGATTGCAGTCGGTTAAGAACTGAACTTTGCCCCTGTGCGACACGCCTTAACCGTCTCCAATCAGGATCAAAATTTATATGTGATATCTTCGACGATAGTAGCGTCGACGTAGGGGTTGAGACTTAGGAAATCGGATGTAAAAATTTGCTTCCTACATTTAAGGACCACCACCACCCTAATGTTCATAAATATGAAATTACTTATGAATACCCTTAAATGTGAAAAAAAACCATACATACACAAAAAAAAACAATCATATTCTGTCATAAATAATTAACTGTCAATATTTAGTGGAATTTATTTTCGATCATTGCGTTATGGAACTTATCCTATGTACTATATGCTTATGTAAGAATATACATATGTACATAGTACCATGATTATTTTTAACATTGTAATTTTTGGTTTTTCGATGTTAGCGAAAAAATTTGGCATTTTTTGAAATTATGCGCTAAAAATGTATGTATACAGAGCTTTTTTTACCTTTTAACAAAATCTGGAGCTAATTTTTGGTTACAATTTGTTTAAAAAAAAACCTAATATAAAGTCCCCCTTACCCATATGATTATCATGTGGTAAGAAATAGTTTTTCGCATTTTCTGACAAACGCGTGCACCTTTTGAAGACGGTGTGCGATATGTGATATATTGCCGTACATTCATCGTCCCAGCTAGAAGTTTTTTTGAAACGTTTCTTTGTTATCTAGCACACTTTTCGCAATAATTTATGCTCTTCGAAATCTTGGATCAATTTCTGTTTTGTCATGTCATTATCCCGCATTCGTTAGGGTTTGGTTGTATGCATTTTTGCGAAAAGGCCGTAAAACCTAAAGCAATAGTGTACCAACAAGATGTTTTCCCCTTTAATGAAGAACACTGGGTTTTTCACCAAGGCTTTGCACCAGCATATAAAATTAAGGAGATTGAACAGTGGCCCCGAGCAGCCCACATTTAAAGCCTCTCGATAACCTATTATGGTCGCAATAAAAGGGT